TCTTTGGATTGAGGACACATAGTAGAAGGCAAGCATAATTTTCAACTATATTTAAACAAACATTTACAAAATAACCAGACGATTGCAACAAGGTGAAAAGCAATCGTTTTTTTGCAATAATAATAACAATAATATATATCATTGTGAAATTTTGTCATCACTTTTCAAAAACTGTTTCATTACGGCGGGTCGATTAAAGTATTCAGTGTTTCGAAGTATAAAGATTTCTTAGTGTCAAATAAAGGAAATAAGTTTTCGATTCAAATGAAGATTAAAGTAGATAATTACAAACGTGAGGCCCTTTCCTATCAGCAAAGACACCCCCACGTCTGCGAAGTATAGATAAGACAAAACCAATTAACTAAACCAATAGCTGATGCATTATCTGTGTACGCAGATTCACAAATACGATGGTTAAACAAATTTCTCGTTGCTGGAATGTTAATCTATTCAATGTGCCAATCAATGGACAGGAATTATAAAACGTATGCTTTGTCTTTAATTTTTCGATTGTGAATTCCTCTTTTCTGAGAAGTTATATCAAGTAAAGCATCGCCAGTGTATGGTGGATACTGCAACTGTAATTTATCCTTCAACAGTTTATACAACGCTAAACCACATCTTCTTTCAGTGTAAACATTATAGTGGACTCCAGACGAGTTGGGAATCATTACTAGGTGATTACATCTCTAAAAAAAGATGATGAACTTTTGTAAGTGGGTGTGTTTTGCTACCGAACTTTGCCGCATTATCTTCGATAAAGCATCTGGTGCGGTAAAAATGGTACCGCTGAATAATATCACTACCACTTTGTCAATTCATTTGTTGGTGAACTTGGCACCCTAGGGTATCACCAGCCCAGTAGCTCAGTACTTCGGTACATACAAGAAATTGCGGATTTTGTTGTATTTTAATTTTTCTGTTGTAAAACTAAGGAAATCATTTGAAATTAAGACATAAATCTTCATCATGCATAGCTAAGTTTTCTTGCACGGCTTTGGCTATACTTTTGGTCCTTTTATATTTCCTATTCAACGTTTGTTTACAAACATTTTGGCAACGGGCATCACTGAAAAGATATTAAAATAGAGGCGAAAGATACCAAAGAAGATTTTCAAACTCAAAAGTCGAAAACAAACTGCCAATGAAATGGCCAAAAACAAATGAAAACGTAAAGACAGGCAGAGCACGAAGCACAACAAAGAAAACAATTTAACGACTATGCAACACGAAATCCACAAAAAATTGGGTCGTGTAATTGTCGAAATCCGGGTCAGTTCAATTTGTACGTTTTACTGTTCCTTGTAATGTAATTAATGCGCAACACTGTCAGTTCGGCGTGTGGTTCTCATCTGGCCATGGGGAATTTTATGTCATTGTGTTTTTGCAGATTGTTATAATATATATATCACCATTCTGAAGATGTAAAAGACAGTGTTCCCAATTTAATTTAATCTTGTCAACTGTGTGTTTTTCTGACTATGTAATTTACCAGTAATCTTGATTGTAAATTAAAGCATGGTTGGTTTTTCACTTCATAGAGTTAATAATATTATGCAAACGATTGTTCAATATTCGATTTTAACATTAAAGATGAAAAAAATCAATCCTAAACAATTTAAAAAAATGTGTAAATGGATGAAAGTAAAATGTTTCAGTATTATTTTGTATGAGAGCCGTCTGTCGCCAACATGTCGGACAGCAACTCAAAAACGATTTTACCAATTTCATGAAACTTTGGTGAATTGTTAATATCTATTGACGTAAGCTCCCTTTTGATTTTGATAAATTTTAGATCTTACTTTTATGAGATTTTATTCATAAAAAGGGGGAATTTTCTAGTTTGCGGACAATTACTCAAAAATGCCTTGAGCAGTTTTCATGAAACTTTGATGCCTGGTTTATATCTATTATAAATTTTTGATATTACATTGAGGAACTTTTTTCGTTGAAAAAGCGACGGGCGTATCATGCGTTCATGGCACAGCTCTTTCTTCATTCTTCTTGTGAATGCCTTAAATGAAGTCTGCCTCATACCAGTAGATGTTGATCTATAGAGTGTCTATATGCCATTTTTTTTTTTTTCACATAGTTGTTTGTTTTTATAGTGATCAAGATTATAACACCATGTTGACTGCAGTACCCCATTGTTTTACATTTTTACCTATTATGTCTGTTTGTTTTGCTCACATATTGTTGTCAATATAATGGAATTCTTCGCGAATGTGAGCGGTATACTACTGTTGCCTTTATTCATACAAATGAGAGGTTCAACTAGCTATAAAACCAGGTTTAATCCACCATTTTAAACACAAGGAAATGCCTGTACTGCGTAAGGAATATGACAGTTGTTTTCCATTTGCTAATGTGTTTGAACTTTTGATTGTGCCATTTGATAACGGACATTGCGTTTTGAATTTTCCCTGGAGTTCGGTAATTTTGTTATTTTACTATTTTCAGAATTTTAAAAGAATAATCTCAATCTAAGACTGAAATTTTAAAAGAAAATATACAACAGACCTTATATTGATCAGGAGGCTGTTATCATAAAATATAGTTGGTCAAGAGAATTGTCAATACCTATTTTCTTCACCTCATAATTTTCATACTATGACTTACATACACATATATTGGTGTGACCTTGTCTGTTGGGAATTAAGGAAGGTGTCTTGCTACATTTTGACACTCTTTTTACCAAAACAAAACATTTTCCAGAGAATTGAGACACCTTTTACCTGATATTTAAAACACATTGACTTAAACTTATCAACGTACAGGAAACACTTTATGACAACAAATTATTATTTAATTTATGACGTTCAACCCGTAATAAAAAAACTATGTACTGGGATGATTACGCCGGCAGGGTTTTACTACAAATCTTACTGTGTTATCCACCAAGTTAACACAACTGCAATTCACTTATACTTGTGTTCCTTATTGTGTCGATTTGTACATTTATTTTAAATTGCTGTAACGTCTTAAGGTATTTTTAAGGCGGCAAATTATTTCGGAGTAGACGACGATAGACAAATCTAAATAATATGCAGTAAAAATGTTTGGTAAAACGTGAAAATATATTATAAATATATTGTGTCCGACTCGTTTTTCTATATCCACCTATCAGGAACACTCAAACATACTTGGATATATGAGGATCTAATTGATTCAAAGGCAACTAAAATCAACCAAGGTTAACTTTTCCTGAGAGAGTTGGAAATGTAGTTTCGTAATGACTGCTAATATTTTCACAAGAGAATTGATAAAAGCTATGTTATAAATCATACCTGTCCTGACGCACGGCCGATTACTAAGCTGATGACACCCTTGTCCAGCAGAGGTATAGACCCAACGAAAACCAGTGTTTCTCAACAAATTTTTTGTTCAAGCTCAAAAAGAAAGTTTAGATACCAAGTTCTCCTGGTTGAGTAAGTGATTTTTTTTTATTTTTGATGAATTACTTATTAATCTGCTTGTATGATCTTCACATTTTTTTCGCACAAATGTGTAATGGCATAATTGAACCCGGCAGTCAATACTTATATGTTGACATCAATTATCTTTTTGTCGAGTCTGCGAAATTTATTTCGCGAAAGCGAGACAAAGCAATCCTAGATTCAGTCGTCGGCGGCGGCGTTAACATTTAGGTTCAGTTTGTGGCTATAAAATTTTGGGACATCAATAACTTTGTCAAACCAACATGGAATTTTATGAAATTTGGGACAGAAGCTTGTTACTGACTAAAATTAAGTATTCAGGACAAAAAAAAATTCTGTATTTTACTAATAAATGGACTTAGTTTTTTACAGTTAACTTCAGATTTTGTCCGAGGTTCAAGTTTTTCAGTCATCAATAACTTTGTCAAAGCTTCATGGAAATTTATGCAATTAGGACGCAAGCTTGTTTATGACCAAAATATAGTATCCAGAGCAAAATTTGGAAATATTTATTTTCATTTTTCCGTATTTTACTGATAAATGGACTTAGTTTTTTTTTTACAGTTAACAAGTAGATACAGTTTGCGGTTAAAGTTTGTTACATACCAATAACTATGTCAAACCTTCATAGAGTTTTATGAAACTTTAGCAGTAGCTTTTTAATGATTAAGAGATAATGTCTGAAGCAAACCTTTGAAAATATATTTTTTTTCATTTTTAGTATTTTTGTTGTCTGCTCTATGGTCGGGTTGTTGTCTCTTTGACACATTCCCCATTTCCATTCTCAATTTTATTCTTATAGATGGACTTCCTTTTTTACAGTTAACATTTACAGACAGTCTAGGATTAATGTTTTTTACATGATAAATTTGTAAACCTTCATGGATTGTTATGAAACTTGGACAAAAGCTCATCTTCAAGACCAAGAAAAAGCATCTAAAGAAAAAGTTTGATTTTTTTTATAAATTCTGTATTTTACTGATAAATGGACTCACTTTTTAAGTAAACATTACACTTTAAAACTGACAGCAGCAATCACAGGCGAGACACAGGGTTCCGTGGAACCCCTTATGAATTTTTTGAATCGAGCGTAACTGATGAGTCTTTTTTAGACGAAATGCGCGTCTGGCGTACACAATTTTCATCCTGGTATCTATCATGAGTTTATTGACTACCATTATTAATGTATCATGTATAATACATTGATGATCGTCTAAATTTGGATAGGCGATTTTTTTTTACGTCGGCAATAATAAAATTCCTCGGTTATACATGTTATAGGCATAACTTGCAATTTCCTCAATTGCACCATTAATACAAAGTAAGAACTCGATCAACCGATGACAGTGATGCTGGCCGTCGTTGACGGACTTACGACTTTATGTCCTCCGCCCAATATTCTGGTACGAAGTCATCATATGAGAAACGACATTTGAATAACATTTGTTTTCAATTAATTAACTTGAGATTTTCTTCGTTTAGATTTTTTTTCTTGCCTTCGTCATACTTGTGAGCAGAACGAAATATCATGTATATACAAGTATGAATAAATAGCAACTCGGAAAAGTTGAATGGGATTTTATTCGTAATCAAAAACAGTAACAACGGGAATAGTTAAACTATCTACTAATATTCCAATATTGGTATTTGGAATATTGGAAAAGAAAGGAAAAATCATGCAACCAGTGTACTCTCAAAACGCTATAAATGACTTTGTTTTTGATAAACCTACCTGAATTTTGACTTAATCTAGGATTGTGTTACCTTTCAAATATTGGAAGGTAAAGTTCGTTTACATCGCTGCCAAAATATAATCAACGTTGATTTGGAATACTTAATTTTGAATTTTATTAATTTTGATTAATGATACGATCATATGTAATGGTAAGTCTGCATTTTTAAGGACATTCTATAGAATGCATAATACAATAGTAAAAATTGACTGAATTAAAGATTTGTAAAAATAATGAAATACATATTTTAATCATTGAAAATAAATTGAGGAAAGCATATTTATTGGATTATTTTTTTTCAAGAAAGGGTAACCGAATAACACATTTATTCACAAATCTATGTAGGGCCTGAGTGAACTATAAGTTTTATTCAGTCACGAGAATACCATTTCATAGTATAACTTTTAGAAATGTTCTTAACCCAACTCAAGAGAGGGGTATCAAAACAAAGGCATTTATAACAAATAAATAAATTCTTTCATAATACATACATACTTACACTCAAACATGAATTTGTATCTATAACATAACAAAACACTGCACAGCATTGAAATTATGGGATGTCTTGTTTAACATGAAATCACAGCTTTTCAAATAATATAAAAACAACATTCATAAAATTGAGCCAACTTATTGACAAGGAATAAAAATACTCATGGTTGTTCAATTGCTACACATGGGTTATAATTGTATGTCACACAATAAATGCACACGTCGTGTTTTACTCTCACAGACATACCATTATTGCAAAGTATTGTTGACAAACATAGCAAATGGTGTCAACATTTCTAATATAGATAAATATATTACATATGGAATAATTAAACAAATTAACTGTTATTTGTACAATAAAAAAAATATGGTTCTACATGCAGTATTTGCTCATTCACATAACAGATTTGTTCTGTTGCATGGATTGCCAAGTCTGGTTCTTAAACTTGATATTTACCCAAAAGGCACAATAAACCATGAATTAAACTAGCAGTTTTGGCAATCAACATTTCAGTAACTTATACTTTAGACATAGCTGATGTACTTAGAGAGCGGTCAAGGCAGCAATTGTATTTATTCTTAATCAGCTTAATCAGCTTTTTGTAGTTTATACAAACAATTATACTTTGACGGTTAGACTTAGGTTAAAATGAGATAAATCTGTAAATCACTACTGCGTTTGCAATAGTCTATTTCACCAACGTGTTTTAACTCACTCACGTGAAACGGCAATTAAAATATCGGTGTTACTTAGAAGTTTATAATATATTAATAAAAATTGTTGACACAAACGTATTATTGATTTTAAAGAGTTGTTTCTCTTTACCTATGTAAACCTCCTTAGCGTAGCCAGAACACATTACAACAGACTATTATTGCAAGGAATTGCCATCATTTATATAATCCATAAAACTGACTTTTTCATATATACATATATATATATATATTGCTGCTATAAAATACTGTTGCCGAAATTTTAGAATAGAACATAAGTAATGATTTTACTTATATTCAAATATTCTGGGCTTATAAGGGTCACGTGGTGTATTATGAAACAGACTTTTAAACCACTGTACAACTACAAGTTAACTATCTCTACAAGTAAATTCTAACCTAAAACAATTTTGATTGAGCTTATCACAAACAAGGAGAATAAATAAAACGTCAATGCAAAATCGCTTATTAGTCATCGCATGAACCACATTTAAATATACTATCTAAGATTATTTCTAAACATCTGTGTAACTCTTTTAGAATAATCTGGACATGGCAGATATCTTTGTCGAAATTTCTTTTAAAAAACAAACCAGTAATAGCTAACTAGATCAAACAATGCGCCTAAGTTCATTAGTCAATGCAACATCATATTATGTTTATGCGCTATTTTAGAAGTTCTGTAAAATATGAAAAATCCAAAAAAGTTTTTTTTTTTTATTTAGGAAGTCTTCGATATCGATCTGTTATAAAAACACTTCTTTCGAAAACAATATTCATAATTATCATTACCATTAAGAGGAGTCGTTTTGGTAGTAGTATTTTTTTTCTAATTGACAAACTATTCTATGTACACATACCTTTACTTAAAGAAACACAATTTCAATACCTATAATTGGCACCCACTCTTTAAGTGATAATTGATACAGGGTAGAATGTTAAAGAAGGTCGCTCAATTTTACCCAATGTTGTGAATTGAAACACTGATTCTGACCTTTTCAACGGTATCTGATGCTAACCACTGGAAAAAGGTATTTAAACAGCACTATTTCAAATTACAATGTATATAATTATATTAAACTTCTATTATAAAAACAGTCTCATATTGCTTTAATGATAATTACAAAAATAAATCAAAATCATCTCATATCTAATAAGGACAAGCAATATATATGCAAGAAATATTCAGTTATGGGAAAGTATTTTGGCGTTCATGTGGATGATTGTGTTTTCATCATCTATATTTTTATTAAATAAATCTATCCTTACATTCACTATTTGAATCAGCTGTTTAGACTATGAAAATATCCTTGTTGAAAAGACTATGGTTATTAAATGCCAGATTGAATCTTAATCAGCCAATTTAAAAGAATTTCAAAACATGACCGAAAAAAAAATACCCTCCTAACCATTCTATTATGAAGTTACTTTCATACTGAGTTAGAATGGTAGGTCTTTTTTCGTTTCTGCGTGCCTGATAATTTTAGAAATCTCTAGATAAAGTTTGGTTAGAATGATAGCAAATTACGGAATTAGCTCCTCTTAATTGTCAATTTCTAGTGCATTTCAACCAAATTATATCTTGAAATACAAGAAAAATAAAAGGAAACGAATGTTATATTCGTGCACCATTATCCAATTTGAACACACGTTAATGTAAACTTGAGTGGGTTTTTGTTTGTCACCACTGCCTGATTCTTATAAAACAAAATAGAGTTTAAGCATATTACGATGGAAAATTCGATAAAGAATCACATCCTAGTTCTTTTTGCCATATTTAACTTCATTTGAAAAAAACTACCTGACAAAATATCTAAAAATATCAAAATGTCTAGAGATATTCGAAAATTGAAATATTATACAAAGACTATTTTTTCAATCCCCCTCAGGCAAGTTGTCTGGGCTATATTAAGGTATTAGATAGCCCTATGTTATAATGTTGACAGACGTGTCTGTACTAAGGGTTCCAGAGCATGCCAGGTGAAGGTCATTCTGTCAACACATGTCGTGTTTTCTGAAATAGGAATCATTGATTAATATTACATAGATATTCCAAACAAAATTGATTTCCCCTTAAATTTGATACCTTCACTTGACATTTGAATACTATACACGATACAGGTTTCTACGGAAGGCCGTACTTTGACCTATAATTGTTAACTTTTTATACATAGTGACTTGGATGGAGAGTTGTCTCATTGGCACTCATACCACATCTTCTTACTTATATATTCTATTATGAATATACTACGTTCAAGGGGCAGACTATTCAAATCATAATGCAATGATCAGACATGATTGCAAATTATGTTTTTCATATCGATACAAATATATTAATAAAATATTAGCCTCGTTAATGTTTAAGTAATCAAGAAGTCTGTATGGGACATCACTCGGATTGTGTGGGAAGGTTCTAAAATCAAGAGAATATACATCAATTGGAATTTTCAAATCAAAACATGACGAATGAACTAAAGTTCAGAACAATTTCTTCTTCTCTCATAGTCATATGTCGTATACAGTTAAAGGGAATCAGATATATTATATATTGACAACACTTTTAATGAAATCAAGAACAGATTTCTTACTTTGATTACAGAAATCTACCCCGAACGAAATACGATTTTATTTTCAGCCTAACAGTATCTATCGCAAATTCTTCTTTCAGTATACATACATATCCTTAATAAGAACAGCACATATTATAATTCATTGTGTAAATCAGGTTATATACAAACAAAAAGAAGCTAAACGTTATTCTAGGACATTTCCCTTTAATTGCAGTGAATTTATAAACGACTAGACATTCGCCTGGTGGTCAGATCTGGTTTTCAAAAATTGTAATAGTATTAACCTGTAGTCATATGTTAAAGATTCAATATTTTACACATAGTTCTGTCGCATACTGGCAATCTGTTAAACCAATTACTGATTTGATTGCTAGTGTCTTGGAGACAAATCAATAATTTCTTCACTACAGTCTGAATATCTTAAAATATACACAACTGGGTGCAAATGATCAATTTTTCCGAAATTTTCCACTAAAACGCAAATATCTACAGAGCTTTTGTCAATTATTACAATAAAAAAAGATGACAAAAATAACTATAAAATATATATATTTATAGTCTAATGTTTATAACAATTGAAAATATTAACCGCAATGGCCTGTTTTGCTAAAGAGTAAAAAACAGAAATTGAATTTATCAATAAGTTAAATTAGCCATTTATTTCTGTTTGTAGTCAGTGGAGTATAAGAGGGTATATGAAGAAAGCTTCTGGCTCTTGACGGGGCGTTACAAGCAATAACTGATGAATAAATATATAATTTAGATGTTAAAAAGACAAAGCACCAAGAAAAGGGAAAATTTAATGCTACCATGAGGGAACACCGTTATATCCGTATGGGAAATTTGTTTTCGAAAGATATTTTATATGCGGTTTATATTTGGAAAAAAATCCCATCAGAAAACAGGAGAAGCAGTCAATGTAAAAAGTTAGTGTGATCATATTTAAACTTCTACATCGTACATAAATAATCCTTTAACCGTGTTGCTATCATGCTACTTTTTTGTCAGAGTTGCAGTTTGTCTTTTGGCACGTTAATTATGTATACACAAAGCACTTTTATAATAATGTAAATGTCATTCAATCATTATTACAGTCACACACAATGAACCTTTTAGTAAACATTCAAACCCTTGATAAGTGCAATATATGCGTAAATAGGTAAAATGGTGCACGCGATTCTTGTAAAAAAAAAAGAACAACACATCTTATATATATGTATAAACTTTGAGAAAGGTGTCGAACAAATCAATGTCAGATATACCTTTTTTACCTACAAAAATGTAGTGTTTTTATGTAATTCATGATATTGTTTTGCAGACAATTAAACAATTCTAACTTTCATCTATCTAAGAAATGGCTCTACTCTTTACAATATGTAAACATTTCTGTCCTTCTGTTTTGAATATATTAAGTATGATCAATCTGTTTCTGATTGTCTTTTCAATTTCTGGTCTGACATCCGCATAACATATAAGTGATTGGAAATTCAGAGAACTGAAGTCGTTTTAATTCTATAGTGTGTATAGTGTATATGAATAGATGTCGGGTATATGTCAAATTAACATCAACACTTAAAACCAATAACACCAAAAGAGACATTTAGAGAGTAATTATTATAATTTTAAAATAAACTTTATCGATTGAAGGCTAAAATAGGACAGCACTATTGCAATAGTTGTAAATAGACAAGGCAAAGATTAGACCCTCATAAATGAGTCAGAAGGAAATAATTTCCAACATTTTACCAAAAATTTAGCTTCATCTAAATCTTAATAATTTCCGAAATGTGGATCCGTTTGCATTAGGATATTTATTTTGATACAAAAATTGAATTTACAAATGATTCTAATTACACTACAAAATCTTTATAATGAAAGTAGCAAGCGTTGCAAAATGTTTAACAACGTACAGAAATAATGAACGTATGTACTGTACAGTGATATTGTTTTGATTGGATTGTTTTGGACAAATATGGTACAATGGATATGAAAAATCTAAATAACAATTATATAAAAATGTACATTATAATGAACTTCATATATTCCACATCTAACTTTGTGCTTCCATCCTTCATATACAAACGCTAACCATTTACGTAGAATATGTGAGCAGGAAAATTTCTATGGTATGAAAATGTAAAAAAAAGTATTGTAAATATCATACATAATTATTAAATGAATAGGTGTCACTTTTTTCCAACCAAGGAAAAACACCAGGTTTTTGTTTGACCATTCAAAGTGAAACATTCCGATTTAGGCCATCAATTTCGTTATCACTTTCATTGGGATTGTGCACAAATGGAGGTTCAAACACATCATTCATGATTAAAACGTGGATATTATCTTTCAATTTACCAACAATTGTATTTATTGTGTTTGGTTTTAAAACATTATCCTCCAGTTTTGATTGTTCTATCGGTATTCTACTAACTTCTGAATAGAAAATACTTTTCCTGGTCTTGACAACATCTCGACATAATTTCAGCCATTCAAAACTATTTGAAATAATTCTTCTGTATCACATTCAATCGATAAAATCACAGACTATGAGCAAAACGGTTTCATTCTCATACTAACACTTCTCATCATAACGTTGAGATTCTTACACTTTCCGGGTTATGAGCTTGCGTCTGCGTATATGAAGGTGGTTGCACCATTGGCCCGCTTGTGCCTTGTGTCTCCATTTCCGGCGTTGTGCTTGGAGTTGGTAGATTTACTATTGCAGTTGTAACAGTAAGGTTATTTGATTTACTATTGTTTACATTACCAACTGCATTTAGACTGGAACGAGACGACCGGTTTGTAGTTGGTATTCTAACTTGAATATCATTTAACTCCTCGTGTTCTGAATCATTATGGTGTCTCTACAATTTAAAGAATACAGTGGAAATTATTATTTGGACGACAGGAAAGAATACAGTTCAACGTTTATATTATATGTTAAAAGAGGGAATTGAAACTCATCAAATTAATTCAGGATTTATAGTATGAAAAACGTTATGGTCATTTTATGGTTCGTGTTGCTTATTCTATATCTTTCTATGTAATCATTGTAGACTATTGTTTGTTTTTTGGTCATTTTCGTTTTTTTCGCCTGGGCTTTGTTGGTTTATCTTCGCGATCGATTTATGCATTTCGAGTGTCCCCTTTGTAACTTCTACTTCTTTTTTGGTACTTTACTTTTGTCAGCGAGATATGAAAATAGTGCTTTTACACTTAAAAGACTTTTATTTATCTAAATATATTTCTATAAGCTTTAAGCCCTTTAATCGTTACCTATAGGTAAAAGCATAAAATAATACCATCTCAACTGTGATTTGATAGTAAGAACAAAATCACTGGGTTAAAAAGACAGTATATCACACCCTTTTCCAACCTAAGTATCAAAATTGTGTGAAACTGCACTTCCGTCCGAAATATAATGACACTAAACTATTTTAATACATATAGTTTTTTTAAGGTTCAGATGAAATCATGCATAAAATCTATCTACCGTACCGGATGTTATTAGAAAGAAGTAGTGCAGTAAGGGACCAAATTGTCCCCTTTCGTATTGTTAACTATTTCAACTTGTAAAATGTGTCAGATCGAACGTCCTATTTTACAAAGCATGGACATTCTCTCCCCAAAAAAGGCCAAAAGTAGAGATTTTATTGAAAGTCGATAACTTCCAACCATATTTAGGACAAGGATTCAACAACATAAACTTTAGAGTTAGACAAGCTATTTGTTATAACAAACATAATGCTTAATTAACGGTCTCAATTTTACTGCACCAGATGCGTATTAAAAGATCTATTAGTAGACGGATACGCGCTATGTTTCAGGCCCTAGCACAAAAATAATTTGTTCATGTTCTTATTGAATAAGATACAACAGTAATTTATCGATGTTCACCTTATAAATCAATTACGTATCTGCAAATCAAGACAAAAACACAAAATCTGAGGGAATCGCATGACCTCCAAACGGATCGTGACCAGGTACATCAAACGGGTAAGCGTTTCCAGCTTTGCATGTTCATTACACACCATGCGATGTGAAATTCAAATAGATATAAGAAGATGTGGTATGAGTGCCAATGAGACAACTCTCCATCCAAGTGCATGCAAAACTTGACGTCATAATAGAAACGCTATCATACATTTTACATATCATATACCGGTACTTGTTTTAACCATGATATATTGTGATTATGGCGTTTAATCCTGATTTAAAGTTTGAGCCACTATTGGATCTTATCGAACCTACTCATTTGAAATAAAACCAATTAAGCAGTAGTCCTGGAAATTTCAGGGTAGGTCTTAAGGCCCAGTAAAACTGAATCATCATTGCAACTTCCAACCATGAACCTAAACTTTTTATTCATAATCAATGGATTTAAAACTTTGGTTGACGGTATCAGAAATATACAGTCAAAAAGGTGCTTTGGAATAATTTAGTCTTATTTAAATTGTTATAGTTATTTTTCAGAAAACGATATGTTTAACGTGCATTTCCTGCAATTCGTGAGAAATTAACAACTTTGTTCACGTAGAGGCTATTTTATTACAAGAGGACTAATCGTATACAAATTATAAATCCAACTATCATTTCAACTTTTCTTTTAACGTAGGTTCTAATTGAACAAATCAACATTTGACTAATATGTTTTAAAGTTTTAAAACCACAATTGTCAAAATGAAAATCTTGAGAATGAATCAGACCAATCTTTGTAACTGTTCACGAAACTTTGATTTTTTTTCGAAATACTTAGGATTTTTTACCCCAGGAATAGATTACCTTAGCTGTATTTGGCCAATTTTCCCGGTATTTTGGGTCCTCATTGCTCTTCAACTGGAACTTTATTTGACCTTCTTAACTTTTTTTATTGGAGTGTCACTGATACAAAGTTTTAATCTTGGTATCTATGATTAGTTTATTTGTTCCAATCAACTCCGTGATTTCATAAAAGAGTGACTTTTTAGCAAAGTTAATTTGGACAATAAAGAAATTGTTAAATTACTGTTGTACATAGTTAAGTTTATATTACCTAGTAAGCATAGTGAATAAATCTATTATTTCGAAACACATATAACTTCATTTTATATATACGGAAAATTTAGGAAGCCTTTGATTTTTTTTTACTTGAATTCGTGTGATCTCTTAAGTTTGTAACTTTTTTATAATGTACATTTATTTATTAAAACCTCTCAAGACTACAAAATAATCTTACTGCATCGGATGAGCATATTTATTCAGTGATGATCAGGTAAGGAATAACCATCAGTTGGTGGATTATACCTCAATTCAGGTATAATCCACCATTTGATATATAGTGAGATAGACCAATTGAGGTATAATGCAGTTTTCATCACAAATTTTTTTCAATAGACATTCGAGCATCTTTTTGCATATACCATCTTCAGCTTTGGTGAGTTCTAATTGATGACATGTAATTGTTTCCAACTTCCTTTGCTGCCTTTTGATGGATATTCATGATTGGTGTCCTTAAGTCTGCATCAGTTCTAACTATATGATTTGTTAGTCAAAATGGATAGGAAGTGACTACAGAACAAAAATGAGATTTATTAGATGAAAACTCAGAATTAAAAAGTCGGAAAAGGAGGGTCATATTAGTTTTTAGGGTTCTCTAACAAATTGCGGCACGAAGTGTTAGTATCAATTACATGTCATCACTAAGTGGTCATCAAAGCTTGTTATGGTAAATGCAAAAGGATGCTCCAATATCTCTTAAATTTTTTGGGGGATAAAAACTGCATTATACCTCAATTGGTGTATCTCATTATATGTCAAATGGTGGATAACACCTGAATTATACCTGAGGTATAATCCACCAATTAATGGTTATTCCTGACCTGATGATCGAGGTCCAAATACTTCACAATCCAAAACTTATTAAACAAATGATGGCCTTATAAACCAAAAAGGACAATAGTATATTCAAAGAAGAATGAGGATTTTTTTGCATTATCAATAAACAAGATTTGCATCTTGCTGGATATAATGCTATCGTTTTTAGCTTTGTAAATTTAGTTTTAAAACTTTTAGTTGTATGGTTTCTTTTGTTTTATAATTATCAAACTTTAAAAATATAAAAAAAATTAAAAACCTTCGCTTCAAGGACACACATTATTACTTTTCTTTTCGAGTTCATACCACTGAAGTTTTAGCACTTACTTTTAGTTTTATCTCTTTTTTTTCTTGATCACATAAGTGTATTTAAATATCCTATATTTTATATGGATTGTTCTTTTTGAAAATTCTGTTTGATGTAACAGTCAATTCTATATTATCTCCCCTTGTCCTTAATAAGATTAAAAAACGACTCCTCCGCACTTAATATTACGACAGTAAATTAATTGTCAAAGGTATGTAGCACTTCTTAGGTTAGATGGTAATGTTCCATATGCAGAACCGATCAAGTTTACCAAGTATTTTTAAACAACATATTAAAGGATATCGACTATAAGTAATATCCAGATATCCCCGCGCCAAAATAGACATTGTGCAATTAAGAATTACTTCAATTTATGCATTTTGCTACCTGCACTTATGATTTGATGAGTGTTGCTCTAGTAACAAGTGTCCTGTGCATTGGTACATGAATCATGCTTTATTTTGTTTGTTAAGTATGTAATGCAAAATCTTTATAGTGCAATACAGCTTTAGCAATAACAGTTAATTAATGTTTATTTGTGGTAAAGTATTGATTGATATATACTCAAACAATTTGCTAACATGTAGTAAAAAAAGTAATGATTTATGTAAAATTGTAGAACTCATGTGCAAAATGTCATAAACATATGTTCAAATATTGCATGATAATTAAGATAATTATTGCATATAAGTAAAGAACAGAAGTTGATGCGCATGCGTGAATAAAGCATTCAAGAACATAGTCAGAAAACAATCAAATGTGTGTCAATTAAAACTTTGACAAAAAGCAACTTGTGACTATTACCAAAAAGGTGTACAAAAATATACAACAAATCATACCCAAACATACACAGAAAACGCCAACATCTGACGAGTAAAACCATTCTCAAAAGTGATGCTAAAAGCAAGAAAAAAAAGCAAACTAACGAAAGAGAACCCAAGGACCAAATGGGAATACACATTACCTTACCTTACTGATAAAAAATCTTCGATGTGTGATGAACCTACGGGCACAACAGCCCGTTGAACGCCTCCTCTCCAGGGAAACAAGGGAGGGGTCCGGGGAGGGAGGGGGAGTCTCCGAGGGATTATTGAGAGCTCCGTTAAAAGCCATGTCCAATTCAACAAATGCACGATCCTACAAAAAGTTATCCCACTATACATTATGATGGAATAAAGTTTTGCAATCTGATCATAGCCGGTCTTTCCCGTCTTACGCTATCTATATCATAATTACGGGAAAAGTCGAATATGTCACGATTGCAAAGTTCAAATCTTTGTCTGTTAATGTTTGTCCAACAGCATTTGAATATTTTTATAAACTTGATATTTACACTTTACATAAATGATTGGCAAACATCAGTGATTCGGTTTTTGTTTAATTTTAGAATTATAACTAACATATGCACGTTAAGTTGTCTCATTTTTCTCCTAATTAGCAGGAGTCTAAATGCGTATTCCAGATTCACTTTTACGTAAATTAGAAAAATTGGAAGTTTTAAAAATTGTGCTTTGGTAATTATGCGTGCTTCAATGACTTGCTTGTTGATAATTTTATCTAATCTATACAAGAAAAAGCATAAATATAAATTTCAGCCATGATGTGAACATTTACCATAGTATTTGTTTTCCGTTTACAATCTTGTATTTGTTTGATCTGTAAATTGAAATTTTGCTTTAATGACATATAAACAAAACTTATGCATGTGCAGATAAAAGTTAAAAGGAAAACCTTTATTTCAAATCAAACTTTGTATGTGTTTTGACATGCTTTAGTGAATATCACATGAAGGAGAATTGAAAAATGTAAAAATTATATTTATATGACTCCTTTGCAGTTTAAATTTTATCCTGTAATTTAACCATCTCCTAAAAACGATTTTCTAAGACAATATGGCAGACAATTTGAATGAAAATGTTTTCATTTATTCCTTCCGTAAATATGATTCCTAAACAAGAACAAAAGAATACTATTATCTGCCGGGATAAAAATGTGACACCTAGAGTATTATAATGAATGCATTTTTAAAAAATATTTGCACTTAGTTTACAAAATTTTTGCAATATAATATATGCTTTTTAACCAAATTTTTGCATTATATATATATATATATATATATTTCATTTGCTATATTACAAATACTATATTTATCAAAACCTATACAATTAACGAGTGTGTTTTGTTCATCTTTTTGCTTATATTGAAATATATGCGTCTCAATTGAAATGACTATATAAGAAACAAGAAGGGCATATTTTTCTACCACCACCATACATATAACAGGGATGAATAATATTGACATCAATGTAAAATTATTTATTGCAGGAAAAAAGTATAAAGACTCAGATGCAGGTATTAGCTAAATGCAATAAGTATGAAAATTCTATATATTGGTATTTTTTTCTGAAAGCAGAAGTTATATTTTGCAATCGATTATGTTCATGCAAAACACATTAGAAATTGTACATACAAAAACAAACAAAACTTACCGTTGTTTTCTCTAAACAGCTGAGTAGATGATGATGTTGCATTTCTAAGAAATTTTCTTGACAATCGTCTAGTTCTATACCACTCTCTTTAGCCCGTAATCTTTCTTCTGCTCGTTTCTTACTACTAATAAAGGCAGCCCCACTAGCATTTTTAGCCATTCTTATACGTGCTAATCTGGCTTTCTACAGAAAAAAAACAAGAACAAAGTCATGTAAGTTCATGCCTATTTGTTTCAGGAAAATCGTATTGCAATAACTACATGAATATGTAACTAATAAACAAAATTTCATTTAAAATTGAATATGATAAAAATATGAACAGTTTTAAAATTTGAATATCATTCGGATCTACAATGTCATTCACAGATGTATGCCTTGCTTGACATCTTGCAGTACATGTAAATGGCACTCCTGATAGTGACCTGAAATTATTACTGAAATGAAAAGCTTAGAATTTTTTTACTGTAGGTTCTGATTTAGTTATTAAATATTGGACTTATTTTAGGTAGAAAAATATCTGTAAAAAGGACATAATATGTATACAATATATTCCGTCTAAGTGTGCTTGTTTACAGAATAACAAATTGTAAAAAAGCGTCTATTTATTGCAAATGAAATGTGCTAGACAACCGCTAGAACAACATTGTTATATACAAATATGTATAATGTTTTGGTAACAGGATATATGACAGCTTTTATTTATTTATTTTTACTGTTGCTGTTTAAAAGTTCCCGTCATACTTACAAAATATAATAAGAATAGAAAGCTGTACATTGGACGTTAGTTACTTTGTCTAAAATAGATGTCGGAATCAGGTTCAAAATAGAAGATTTTTTTCTAATGAGAATGAGACTGCTTAATAACACCGAAAGTGATATTTAATAAGCCTATCATAAGGTATCCATATTGTCTATAAATTAACAACCGCCAAATTGCCCAACAAAGAGTAACGATACACAATCAAATGGAAGAAACATTGGGGAAAAGCCCAGGGGACAACATTTCTCCATATTTAAAAAAAACACAAGGTATATGGTTGGCTACATGTAAGTATTAATTCCTTTCTGTAACTTCGGATGGTCACTTAGCAACAGTTTCAATAACGGACTTGTGTACAGAAACAAAACTTTAGACCATTTTAGTAATTCAATAGAACAGAAAACGAAATTGCACAAGAGAATAAAACACACACATAAAAACCCGCTAAACTAACGAATGAAATCTTTTAATACCAGTTAGGTATAACAATGAGGATGTTCTGAAACATACATATTAAGTTCAGTTATAGTTTTCCTTGTATTCTGGTTATTTTTTTTTTAATAGATATTGTGAGAATTTCTTTGTAAAATTAATTTCAGGGATTCTTAAGATATTTTCATGAATAATTGCATCTACCGAATCAATATAAAATATATTTCCATATTCCACCTTTTTTGCCGAAGGAAATGGTGATCATTAATATCTATTAATTCATACAACGGCATCTTTTCCTGGGAAAGTAATGTTTTTGTAATACTGTATTTTGAATTACTATTATACAAGCAAGTAACACGTGCAGGTACTTTTTGTTGATATTACGGATAATCAATCCTATGGTATTCTTTTTCTCAAAGTTAAGGATCATCCTAAGTATACAGAAAAATGCCCTTACACACATTGCTTTTTGTCTGCTTATTATGATGTATTGGCTTTTTAATCATATTTTTTTATCATATGTCGGCGTTGCGTCTATCAGGTCATGTTATTTCAGGACGGTGTTATACGCATTAAAGTTGGTCTACAAATTGCGTTGTACTCTTCAATTAACTTCAGACGTTTTTATTCGTGAGAAATTCTCTGTTTCATCGACTTTGTAGAACAGATTCTAACAAACTTAATAATCGTTAATTTGTTGTAAGATTTTTGATAGGCATAATTAAAGTAAGTATCAGACATTGCCGTCAACTTTCTTGTGCAAATTCAGAAATAAGGTAATGATGTCTGGGTATTCATAGTTATCTAATTTTCTTTTATAGTTCATGTATCGATCTATTAGGGAGAAAGGCAAATGGCATGCTTGACATGGATAGCGATAATCATTAAAAGCAGATTCAATTACGCTTAATTAGTGTGATAATATAATGAGAAAGACTAAAGGGTCATACTTGTGTCAGTAATTGCCACAATACAACATATGTCAGGTTTCATGTTCAAATCAATTGCATAAGCAGTCTATATTTTGCAGAAGCAAAATCCAACTGGGATCACGGCAATCGGGCTGAGCATTACTGCATTTGACAATAATGTATATTTAGATCATCAATTAAGTTAGCATGACTATATGATATTCAAAAATGTCTGTTTTCATACATGATTATTTATGTAATAGTTTTGATCAAATTCTAGAATCAAGCAGCGTCTAATAATTAGGTAACGGGAGTCAGGGTTTATATCATGTATATAAGCCAACTTTTCTAGCCACAAAACCAATTTAAGAATCTCCATTTCATGGATGAAGAAGTATGTAACGTCATATCCAGAATGATACAATATGAAAAATATTTATAAACCGGTTTAGTAAGTGCTATCTCCATCCGCTAGATGTTACATTTAAAAAAGCAGCAAATACCAATTTCCATTCCAAATTACCCTTCCGAGGCACCTGCATCCCCAGTTTTCGGTGGGTTCATGTTGCTCAGTCTTAAGATTAATGCGTATTGTTTGGATACTGTTGTTTGCCTTTTTGGCTATGGTTTTGCCTGTTTTTCTTCTACGTTTATTGTCATATGGTATCTTCTGCTTGTTTTTATCAACGCAGTCTTTGTTTGGAGAATGACCATTGCATGTAAATGGACCCTTTACTTTGCTGCTGCGATTTGATGGTGCCTACTTCTACCAGATTTTCTTATCATGCTCACACATATATATTTCAAGTGTCCAAAAATACCAAGCAAATAATATATTAAATCCGACACCCTGATGCAAAAACTCTTATAGTTTTAGTATAGGTTTATTTGTTGTTGTAATGCAAGTTTTATATATCAAAACAGTCTGGCTAAAGAATCTCAAATGAATGTGAGCTATCATACCTTGTATCAACGATTGAATATAAGAATGTTTAATATCGGATTAATTTTAGAAGAGACCTTATACAATTTTGAAAGTTGTTTGTTTCCTTGAGTCCTTAAAGTGAATGAACTTACAAGTTGTTTCAAAAACGTGTGGCACCTATGATTATTCTAAAAGGTTATTGAGAAGAATTTCAAACAGTTCTTGGGAATATTAGAATTAACTTTTGTATTAAATAATAATATGGAAGCTTTGTATAATTATGCACAATTAGATATTGACCCTTTGGGCTCGAAATTGCAGTACCAACTTATTGCAACCCCATTAAAAACATATAAACGTTTCTTAATAAAGGTTTGGCATTCCCATTCAAACCAATCTCTCTCCCCACGAAAAGCTAGTTTGAAGTCTCTAAGGTACAATAGATATCCCGCTCAAACAGCATAGATGATAGGTTAAATATATCATAACCATTTAAAGTTTTTTGTCATCCACCAAAATAAAAATTTTTAAACAATGAATTTTCAAATCGAATTTCATTAAATATTCCTTTTTTAAGAACCCCATGCACAAACAAAATATTTCATGCAGAACTAGGCCTAAATACTATAAAAACCTTAGTTACATCTGACTTACGCTTGTTGCCAACCTCTGAAGACAAGTTCATTATATGGAAAGAAAGATATAATGATAAAAATGATAATTACAAGTTATGAAAATAATCTACCTATTTCCAAAGTCTCCCAAACGAATCAGGACTGTTATACTTTATAGTATATTTGGTCTCCAAATACATTAAACAACCTTTGACAAATAATGTCTATTTTTTTTTGGTGGGGGGAGGGGGGACTTAGCAATCGCGAAATAGTACTGCAATATTAAACACTTGGATGTCATCTTTTACAATGTTATACAAGAAATTACGAAGGATTTAAAATATAAGATATCCCAAGTCCACAATCACCGACGGGAAAATAGTTAACAGATCTACTAATTTATTTGAAGAAATGCCAAAAAACTGTCATATTACTGAATAGGTACGGGTAACTCGAACCATCTCTGCAAGGATTTTCATTTTCACAGTCATTTACGGTTCCATCAGTTACAATCTTCGTGACAAAAAAAAAGGTCATATTCCTGAGTGGTACGGGTAACTCGAACCATCTTTGCAAGGATTTTCATTTTCACAGTCATTTCCGGCTCTATCAGTTACAATCTTCATGACAAAAGAGTAACTTAAACATAACTATGATATAAATTAGTTCTAACAAGAAAGCTAACTTTTAAGCAGGTCAATATCAAACCTTTTTGTAATGCGTTACTGCAAAGTCTTTGTTAAATATATATAAGAAGATACCAAGAAATTTGCATGTCAAAGAGCAGACAATACAATAGCTGAACAAAGAATAAAGCAAACGGCAAATACACATGACAGATAAAACTAAAGATAGAAAAATACGAACCCAAGAAAATGTCAGAAATGAATTCGGGAGCTCCTGAAGACATTCAATGAGTTCAATTCTCTACTTTCATAAGTCACAAAATGTAATTTTATAACTTCCACAGTTTAATTGGAGTGTATATTTTAATGTCCCGCGTTAATAAATGAAGATATACCACGAACAATCATTATGGACCTCGAAAATGTAACCATCCTTTCATTCAAGGTACAGGACAAACTAAAAAGGCTAAAAAACATCAATATTGTTTTTATCGGTACTTACATTGATTTTGTTTTTGAAAAATAAAAAAAAATCACTTAATATATAGTGCTATATATGTACAGTTATAAGTACTCGTACATCCTGTCGATAATGTTTACATATATTATAGCATTGCACAATGTCCTGCGTTTCTCAGACTGTCAATGACATCCTTACACAAAATCCGCTGGATGTTTACTGATTGATAATTTAGTTTGTAAAAACTTGATTTATCTTTAAGTTTTAATTGGCTTTGAACTAGCTTACAATAACTACGAGGACTCTTATATCGGTGCTTTGAGTCTATTGTTTTTATGTAATGTGGTAACACCACTGTCCCAGGTTAGGGGAGGGTTGAGGACTCACAAACATGTTTAACCCCGCCACCTTCTTTATGTACCTGTCCCAAATCAGGAGCCTGAAATTCAGTGGTGGTCATTGGTCCATGTTTGTCATATTTGTTTTTCGTAAATTGTATTGTATAAATTTTCCCGTTGGTTTCTCTTCTGAATAGTTTCACATTTTTCATGTCGGGGCCTTTTATATCTGCCTATACGGTATGGGTTTTTCTATTGTTGAAGGCCGTTCGGTGCATTCTAATTGCTTTTATCGTCGTCATTTGAACTCTGGTGGATAATTATCTCATTGGCAACCATACAACAGCTCCTTATTTTTACATCAAAAGTAAATCTAAATTGAATTGCAATACTTAATGTTAACGTTAACATACTATTGCCATGCTCATGACCGGTACAAACTAAGAAAGGGACTAATGAATATCGCATAGCCAAAATTATTTATTGTTAGCCTATTTACAATGTTTCCCATAAAGTTATTGTGAATAATTGGTATAAATCAAATCAAAACCATTACAAATGCACATTATAGAACTGACTGGTGTAGAATGTCTTGTCACCAAATTCCCGTATAATATTGTAGATGGTTCAGAAAATGACACAAATAGAATAGAGAATGGAAACAGGGAAGTAAATCATGTTGTGACAAAATATTCAATTGGTAAATAAATTCTAAATTTAAATTTAAAAGTATAATTATTGGCATTTATATGTCACTAGTGTGGACGTCGCGATTTAGATGTGGACGCTTATTCTATTGTTTAAGACCGCATTTTAACCTTTTGATGTGTGTTGATGCTGTTTCCTTTTAGTCATAAAAGGACAATTGTAAATAACAAGTCGAAGAAGGAGACTCCTGTCTATATAACACATCACATAAATATTAATAATATATACAACTGATCACAAGAGTTGACCATAAACAAAAATAATATTAGAACACATATTTACTGTTTACCAAACTCAGAATTTTTCACAAAACTTAGATTTTCTTACCCAGGAGAATAATACCATAGCTGTCATTAGCAAAAACTTTCGGAATTTTGGTCCTCAATACCCTTCAACTTCGTACTTTATTGGCCCTTTTAACTTTTTTTTATTCGAGCGTCACTGGTGAGTCTTTTCTAGACGAAAAGCGCATTTGGCGTACAAAATTGTAAGCCTGGTATCTATGATGAGACTATTATATGTTTCCAAAACCGCATGCCTGCATTGCTTAATACAACTCTATAATGTAAACTTTTTCTTTGACAATACTTCATTCCAAGGTTCGACAAAAGCCAGTCTACAAGGACTGTGATGGTTTGATTTTGTACAAGACAACACAAAACTATCGATATATTAAAAATCACTTTGCAACATTGATCCAATGTGGAAACAACCACTCCGATAAAGCGTCTTTTCGATTAACAGTCAAATTCTAAATGTATAGTTTTATAAGTCATTGACTTTCCTGAATGTTAACTGCTTGAAATTGTTAAACTATTTCACCAAGTTGTCTTTTTTTCATTTCAAAGTGTAAAAATGTTTCTTTTTTTATTATGAAAGACGACATGGTTCAGATTTTGATTACCTCGCTTTGACCAAACACATAATTCAAAGTTTTAGTAAACGTAACAAAATTACGTAAAGAGAACGTGTTGAACCGATATTATATTGTTCATAAAAGAGAGGCGGAAAATATATGATATTCAAACTTATAAGTCGAAGACAAACTGCCATCGCCATGGGAAAAAAACGAAAAATCACCAAAAGACAAAGCACAACACAAGAAACCAAAGACTGAGCACACACGAACCCAACCAAAATCCGGGTGATCTCAGGTGCTCTGAGAAGAATATCTTCCCCCGCAAGATGCACCTGTCGTGTTGCTCATGCAAGTACTTATTCGGTGAAAAGTCTAATTCGGTGATGTCACGTTCGAGAAAAAGAGGACGTGGTTGTGGTTACGACAGCTGGAACATATAGTCGTTATCTGTGAAACACATATGTCATAACCGTCAACCAACTCGTGATTGCGTATGTAAAATATTAAATGGGATGGCCTCAACTTAACCAGTTGGAAACCTTTGTCTAATAGCTTTCTTGTAAGCAGCAACAGCAACCCTCTATCAAAGAAAACATGATAGAATTGCAAGCTCTCAATTTTCGCTTCAACTTGGAGATATATGCTCCATATGCAAGCGGTGCTGGAATGCTCCTACATAGAAATGGAAACTTCAAAACTTGGAAGCTAAAATCATCTCTTCGTAAAGAGATGTTCTCAACCGATCAGCATTGTCAATTTCTAGATATAAGTCAAGATTTAAGGCAGTAGAATGTGTCCCCGTGCTTGTGGTGTATGCCCTTATACCACATCTTCTTATATCTATTAAAAGCATCTGTTGTATCCTTTATACCAAGTTCGATGGTATAGAGGCGTTCAACATAGTCACGACACTTTTCATTTATAATGAGATGACATCATCTACAATGTAAATAGCGGAACGTAAAGTCAAAGGATACTACAAGCTTCTTTTCATACTGTCTAAGAAGCTTTTGCATGAAATCTGACTCGTATGAATAAAGAAACAAGCTGGCAAAAAGAGGAGCACAGTTGGTTCCAATTGGAATACCGATTGGTTTTTTTTTAAAACGTCCTTAAAACATAACAAATATGTTGTCAATCAAAATATCAAGCATCTTGATAATGTCAGTTTTAGAGAATTATTTTTTTTGTCAGAGTGGGGTTTTTTTTCACAAAGTATGATTTATCCTTCCCTAAAACAAGATATTTGTATCTATTTTGATTATTCTTTTTATGAAACAAAGTCGGACCAATTCTTTCAGGTTTTTTAAAGTTTTGAATGAATGGGGAAAACTTGTGTAAAGGGTAGAAAAGTCAAATGTTTTACATACTATTACAAGAGGAAAGAGGCTTACTCTAACAGATCTTTGGTACTTTTTAGTATCCACATCAGATTCACAACGCCTTTAGAGTAAATGATTTCAAAATAACTCTGAAGCCAGGTTTTAGTTGCTGATAAAAGTTTTAGTCCGTTTGGTCCAGATGTTTTATATCTGTGTTCATGAAAATAATATTAAAACACCAAGGGAAATGTCATGCAGAAATGGCGAAAAAAAAAACAAGATTTAGAAACACAACTTCCATTAAACTCCGGTCGTGATTATATGTCCTCCAGAATATTAAGCACTATAGTGGCACGCATAGAGTTGCTTAAAATAAGATGAAAAGTCATGCCAGAGGACAAGTATTTAACGAGGAAAGGAATGAGTATCGAATTGATTTTCAGAAAAATACAGCATAGTGCAAACACACAGGATTGGTTTACGACTGTTACAACAATAAGGCCAATGTGTCCATTCAAGGGAAAAAAACAGCATAATATGATAATTAATACAAATAAAATATCTGAAAGAAAAATTTGATGGACTACTGCATCAAATTATAGTCAACAGTAGTTAAACCGATGCTAACATGTTAAAATAGTTGACATTGCTTATTCAGTGTAAATGGTGAAAAGTTGAGACTTCCTTTATTTGATAAGAATATTGCTCTTTCTTTGAATGATCAAAAGTATTATGATCATCTTCCTATCAACAATCATTATGAGCTATACATTAAGAAAACTTTACGACAAACGTTATGAGTTTCCATTTCAAATAGTACGTTTTCCCTATCGAACAACATCTACGTCATCTGCTTATATTGTATAAACAGTTGGTTGGCTTCATAAGAGCTTGTGTCCATAATTGGAACTTCACAATAAATTATAGTTCACAGTTATTGTTATCAATGTAATTTCTATTCACCCTAAGCTAATAACTCTACTTCCATAGTTTTTATGCCACAAACTACGAAACCGTCTAATTCCTATTAGACAAATGCGGCACACAAAGTAATCGTAGACATATTCCCTAAAGTGTTTCATTCCCTTTTAACTGATGGTACAGAGTTTGAATCATCCAGGGACAATAATCTAACGATAAAGTTAACTCAATTTGACATCTAGACTACATACGGTCGAAATTGTCACACTCACTCTACATATCAACTTGCAGTTTAGTATTACTTAAATTTTAAGGGATACAATGAGCTTGATGAATTACTTGTAGAATATATAATAGGATTTCATTTAATAGGATTAATGTCGAAATACGTTTGTCGTCTGTTTAGCCTTATATCCATCGATACCTGAGATTTCAAATTATCACAACTGAAATAGTTTTAAAAGTCGAAGTACAAAGAGAAAGCAGTAGTGTTAAATTATACACATGTTAATGTTCAAAGGGACAAATTGATCAGACAAAAATTTTTGTTCAACTTAGCACCGTCTTCCCCATAAAAGCAATTGTGTTGAAAGTACAATCCTCTCTAGCCAGGCATTTATAACTTGCTATTATTATATTTCACAGACAAAGCGAAACTGTCAACAATACATATACTATGATACCAAAGGGGGTGATATAAAAACATTGTTTATAATAAAAACATAAGATTAAGAAATTCAGGCAACACCAGGGATAAAAGAAGAAACGACCAACATACATATAACAGTCCAATAATAGAAAAATAAGGATTTAGCAAAACAAATCCCATCAAAAACGTGAGTGAACTCATGTACTCTAAAAGTATAAGCAGTTCTTGTATTAATTGTTGACTCTATCGTGTTGCTCATGGAAGGTATAATTCAGAGTTGTGAGTATGGTGTTATGTCTATGACAAGTGGCACATATCAACAATGAAAATTTCGTTTGGGAGACTCGTTCTAATATCATATGTATGTTTTATTTGAATTACAGACCTTTTCATTAAGACGCCGACTGTTAAAATTCTGAAGGATTTAATGCAATACTTAGTGATTTTTACAAAATCAGATGTGTACATATATTATTGCAACATGTATTTCACGATTGATACAATATTCTACATAGAAAACATACGAAATGTGTTTCTATATATCTGTCCTACCAACATTCCATAATAAGACAAAATTACTGATTCTTTTTGCTTATCTTTCCTTTTTTAATTTTGTATTCAATGAATTTATTACTGTTTCCAAATTATAATCACATGAAATATATACGTATGCTACCGATTGTAGTACCAAGGCACTCTTAAAACAACTTGGAATCATTAAAATGTATGTATTGAATTGTTACAAATATTGGTCTTACCTTTTGAGCTTTTCGTTTATCTGCTCGTTGATTTTGATGATAAATTCGACTAAAATTAGAAACTATAACAGGTACTGGCAATGCTATAACTAAGACACCACTAAGTGAACATACACCTCCCACTACTTTACCAGGAATTGTATGAGGTACCATATCACCATAACTGTAATAAATAAAATCAAATATAAACAAAGAAGCTACGGTTGTATGAGGTACTATACCATTACAATAAATTTTAAAAGAACAGCTACAATATATGTCATTAAACAAATCTTGTATCTGTGAAAACCATACATTGTTTCTTTCTCTATGTCTAAACATGAATTTCTTATATTGGAATAATTGTTCGACACTCTTAACAGACGATAGTTCTAAGCATTGAATTTATTTGTCAATCTTTCAAGTATTTTTTGTCAGACGCAATTCACAAATACGGAATAATCTAATAAACTATGAAAATGTTTAATGGTGTTCCATGTTTAATGCATATTTCATTGTTGCTGGTTATGTATTTTGTTAGAATAATCGATGATGATGTCGCAAGGTCGGTTGTTCTTCCTCCTTTTTAGATTGTCTTGATGTCTTATATTCTATTAATCTATATGTAGCATTTATCTCTGCCATATTTGAGGTGAAATAGCCTTCATCAATCGAACACACTGGTAGGAGGATACAGTTGTATGAACACGCGAAGGGTTTTTCTGGTTTGAGATGATGAATAGTTATTTTATAGGTATAGGTGATAATGCCTTCTTTCTTAATGGTAGGCAATGGCAATAAAACGGATCAACAGAACGAACTCTTTTTTAAAATTCACTTGATGTACATGTAACTTCCTTGTTACATCCAGTGAAATAATTCGGTGTTTGGGCTAAGGAGACAGAAAAGCATATCAAACAAGATACGATTTAAATTCAACCTATAAAGAGTATTGGCGCGAAACTCTAATTATACAAAACGTCAATCAATTATAGCAGAGAACCGAATTTCAATAAACAACTGAAATGGTAACTCTTTGTTTTGAAGAAAGCAAAACATAATTGTATGTCCCATAGGTAAGTATTTTCAAAAGACAGACCTCTTTAAAAGTGGAATTTTGCTTTATAATATTTTCTGAATTAAACCTTGTTAGAAAATAAAAATAACAATGAGTTGTCAAATATGTTTCAGTTATAAACATAGGGTGTAGAATATTAGAAATGTTTAGGTATCCCTAACGTGTATCTTTTCTGCTTTCTTAGTCTATAAAACAATTTGTCTTTGGTCGAAGCGATGTGCATTAAGTGTTAACTATCAAATACACACAACGACCAATCATCATTATCCATACTCGTTGTTCTGAATTATAGCATATTATAACTTCATAAGACTACTGTACCTAGAATGCTACTCAATGGTTTATTGCAACAATAATGAACGTACTTCTCAGAGTTACGGCCTCAACAAATTAGAAATAAACAGAAAAAAAAATATACTTAACAAAAAAATAAAACATGATTTCAAAATTGTCTAAATATGTGGCAACTTTACGACAGACCTTCTCCATCGGATAACCTATGATTATACAGTGCGAACACCACATTTTATATATACTTCATCTAAATTTTAGCCCAACAACATTTAATTAGATCTACGCAAATTTTTGTTCTCCCCTCAGCGGTATTCGAACCCCCTGAATCTGTAACATCGTGGCAACATCGGCTTATTACAAGATCTTATAAAATCGTATAGACAAATATATCGAACAAATTGCCTTCTTCAGTTTAATCACACATGCAATGGACACTGAAGAAGGCCAATTGTTGAGCCGACATATTACGATTTGTTAACATCTTGTTCGCATATTACTATCTTTTATCAGTATCTTTGCACAAATCTTAATACTACTTAGTATAAATATATATATATATATATATATATATATATATATATTGTTAAAATATACTTTTCACTTTTTTGGTCTTTTGGAAAATGTTGTTTGTGCTGTATTTAGACCCCTCTAAAAAGAAATTTGTTTTGCATGCACACGTATAAAAATTGCGGTTTTTATCCAACGCAATCATAGGTTTGAACGTTGTTTTTAATTTAGACTTGTATATATATATATATATATATATATACTAGTAAGCAATAGCGGCAAGTAATATTTTTCTTTCTTTTTTTCCTGCTTTAAAAAGACTATAGCGCCACATAGAATTATAAATTCTCCTCATGGAAAGCAATGACAGCTACAAATCATGTTAAGACAGCTTAAATCTCAAACGAATGATAAAATTGGCACTGTGTAAACATCATGTTTTCGATAGATTCAAATCACATACGAACAATATTGTAACATCATTATATTTCTTAATTGTTTATGTTATATAACTTTTAATATTAGAATTTCAAATCAATATGCTTACTTCTTGCGTCCTTACTTTAAATGTCAAAATTTCAATATTATGATAGAATTGAAAAAGCAATTTCTTTCGCGATACTTCTCTGCATGATAATTCAAAACTATCTAATGAAATGAATATTTAAAATGCCAAAAAGTATGTTGCATAATAAAGGATAGCTGGCATATTTTTGTAATTATACTTTAACGCCAACAGAATTGATGTTTATATTAGAATTATATTTCAGTGATCAGTTTTCATATTTTTATAAAGATAGCGATGCTTCAAGAAATATTTTTTTGAGCGAATATTGTAATATGTCAAAGTTTACCAGTTGGCTTATGTAGCGCAAAACACCATGTACAAAACTGCGAAGTTGACTTCCGTAAATGCAAGCTACATAAAAAAATTGATGAAATATAGATCGAAATGCTTACAATCGAATAATTCTTAATACAATTCCATTCAGTATCAAAGTATTTTTAACATATCAATCTATTGATGCAAGCTTAAAAACTAATGATCTCTTTAATAAACGGGAAAATTATTCTGGACCATAGAACATATTTCTTTGAATGCATTTTAAATAAATCTTAAATCAGTATTAAAAACCGATATCTTCTCATATGAGCGCTTGTTAAGCGTAAAATCCTAACTGACAGATACGATTTAAATTTAGCCTATTGAGAGTATTGGTGCGAACTAATTGTATTCCGAGAAAGCTTAGGCATAAAATTGTCGTTTCACGTCTGAGGAGATAATCACTGATTATTCCTATGGAATTGCCTTGTAAAATGCAATGTGGATTTAAAAGTTTCCGTTTTGCATACTTGGAACATGAAACTAAAAACAGTCAACTATTTTCAATTCAAAGACATTGTCTTGTAAAACCCCTGATGTATATCATTGAAACATAAAACTAATAACTGTCAACTATTTTTATCAAAAAAACATCTTCTTGTAAAACCACTGATATACTTCCTGAAAATTACAGTAGTCATCTATTTTTACTCCAAAACCATCAACTTGTTAAACCACTGATACATATCCTGGAAACATGAAACTAACCGATAAAGTATTTTAAATTCAAGACATCATCATGTCAAATCACTAATATATACACCTTGGAAACAAAACTGAAATCGTTTTGTAAAACCACTGATATACATCCTGGAAACATGAAACTAAAGGTAATTAACTTTCCCCCCATATAAATGTAAACTATATTGTTCTGTTCAACCCTTGATATGCATGCCACTGCTGAAGCTAGAATAAATGCAATGTATTAAACTTTTTAGATTCGATACTTCCGCAAAGTTTTAAGATATGTTTTCCTAAGAAGGAATAAACTGTTCAACCATTACTTGATCATTAAAGTAGAGACTCGTATAAAAGTATATCGATTATTTGGCGTCCATGTCTTTTGGTGTTGTCGACTCTCATAAAAGAAGCAAACCGCATTCAACACAATACTTTACAGACAACTAAAGAATGAGCAATACGAATCCTACTATAACTGGAGAGAACTCAATTGTTCCGAAAGAGTAAGCCATCTCTGATCCACTCAAGACCCCCTACTTGTAGAAACAAGAAAGACACGGAGAAACAAGATAAAAAGATACAACGCTGAAAACTAAAGAAAGAACAACATGAACCCCAAAGAAGAATAAAAATAAATTATTCATAACAGATAATGCAAAAGGACTTATAATGGAAACATTACAAAAGTCATAGAAAGACAATTTCATTAAAATGAATTAGCTAATTTTCCTTTAAATGTCAATTTTGCTGCGGAAGAAGTATGCAGAATTATTGAAAAGCTTTAGATTTTAATATTGGTGAGAAATTCTATTATGAAATTGAAAATGTGAATTACAAGTAGTTACTAGTGACAAGTACTGTTGAAATAATTCAATTCCATTTCCCACTAAATTTGCAGATATTACAACAAATGTGATAACTTTTGTATAGTCTTTCTCCTTATAAATTTATATTCCCCACTAAATGAAGCAAATCTTAAAATTTTTGATATCCATCAAACAGAACGATTCGTCAGAAATTTGAGATAGATTTGTAACTGAAAATTAATCCAGCTTTTCTCGAATTTCGAGAATACATTTCTAGTGTCAGGGTATTATACTAGTATTAAATTTCTGAACAAATAAAATTAATATCAACCTAAACTTGATCTTTATATGAAAATTGATAAGAAAGAGAGACTAATTTTTGAAAAAATAAATGTGGAATGTGTCCATGGGACACAGATGATGCCCCCGCTTGCATATCATATATAGATATAAAGGGACATAACTGAAGAACGGTAAAATTGACGCTACCCAAATTTGTACATGATCTCAGTTTTGTGGTAATAAGCATTGTGTATAAGTTTCATAACATTTGGTTTAGGCAAACTAAAGTTAGAAAACAGAAACGAAAAATTCAGCATTTTTTATGTTTATAAAGGAGCCCAACTCAAGAACGGCAAAAGTGACGCCACCCAATTTCAAACTTGATCTGTATTATGTGGTAATAAGCATTGTGCATAAGTTTCATAACATTTGGTTGAGGCAAACTAAAGTTAGAGAACGGAAACAAAATATCCAGCAATTTTTATGTTTATAAAGGGGCCTAACTTAAGAACGGTAAAAGTAACGCCACCCAATTTCGAACTTGATCTGTATTGTGTAGTAATAAGCATCGTGTATAAGTTTCATAACATTTGGTTTAGGCAAACTAAAGTTAGAGAACAGAAACGAAAAATTCAGCAATTTTTATGTTTATA